AAGCTCGTAATGCTCTCACTTAGTGAGAATTAGTAAATATACATTTCTTTTTCTTTTTTAAAACATGTTCAGTTCCCAATAATTTAGTATGCCTGGTGTCCAGATATGTGTTGAAAAGAATTTAGTTCACTTTGTTCAGTTCTTATCAAGTCAAATCATAAAAATTTATTTAACCCCGTGCAGAAAACTTTATGTGCTTTCATAGATGCAAAAGTGTGTCCACATTGTCTTGGCCCCACCTCTCCTAGGAGCTTTGAGCCTCTAAATGTAGAACCAAGGCATAACTAAAAGAAAAAATAGTAAATCCATGTGGACACTAGTGAAAAACCAATAAATTGCCTGTGTTTTAAGGGAGCTACATGCCAGAATTCGATTCAGGTGTGAATGGTGAATCCAGGGAGTATGAGTGTGAATTCAGAAAGTATGATAGGAAGTAGAAAAATACCAAAAAAACACTTGGGATATCCCTGTAGAGGTGCCTCCTTGAAGGTAAAGGTCCTTCTTATGGAGATTGCTTCAAGGAGAATTATCACAGGCTATTATCTTATCTAATGGCTGGCTTCATCCATCCATCTCAAAAAATAAAGCAGTGTAAGAGCTTACAAGCACCAGCCAGCAAAGGATACAGGAGGTAAAAACTTAAATGAGTATAGAACTAGAGAATGTGGTTATGTATGGGTCTAGCTCTGGCCAGGTAAAGGAGGAAGTTGAATTTTGAGACAGGTCTGCTAAGTATGCTCAAAGGATAATGTGTTTTTCATCTTCATTTCACTCATTAATCAAAGCTATGATTTACTGACCAACTGTGTCAAATCAGGTTCTCAGGGAGGCAGATGCTGAAAAGAATTAGAACTACAAGGGCTTTAATGGAAGAAGGGAACATAGTACTATGAAAGGAGGAATAAGCAGGTTTGGACATGGAAAGCTTTCAAAATGGGATGTTGATCTGATGCTGTGAAAGGATAACAAGCAGAATTGGACAGGGAGAGCAGACTGTGATTCAGATTTGGTAGTCTTCCCCAACCCACTGGGGACTCCACAGCAAATATTGCCCATGAGAAGAGACACCAGTAGGATAAAAATGGCCACACTGTCCTCTCCATGTGGAGGCTATTAGCCAGTGAAAGGCCACTTTGTGTATGGGACTGCACCTCAGTGGCTACCACATTATCTCTTCAGTCAAAAATTAAACTTGAAAGTTAAAGTTCATGAAAGTATTAACGCAACTTGGTTGTTTACTTGGGGGAACAAAGAAATTCACTAAATTAATATCACATTAATATTATACCTTTTTAGAAGTTGGATTTAGTTTTGGTGACTTATATTATTTGTGTATGTCATGATATTTTTTCATTGATTTAGTATGGATGCATCTTCCTTGTCTACCTCACAGAGTTGTAAAAACACATAATAGATATTGAGGACCATATGGAAACGCGACCATATGGAAATATGAGATATTGAGGACCACATGGAAATAGAAAGATCTCTAGAATCAAATGATAGAGAACAGACAAGGCTGTGTCTTGTACTTATGGAAGAAGAAAAGGGCTACTGAATTCATGGAGAGTGTGTTAAAAGAAAATTGTTTAAAATGTATTAGGAAGCTAGCTATTTAATTATTCCTATGGCTAGTCTTATTAGTAGCAATGCAAATAAAGCCCTCACCCCCTACCCAATCCTGGCATAAATCTTGAGCTTCCTAAGACAGACTTGTCTAAAACCAATATGTGAAAATATTATACATATTTATCATACTTGAAGAATATTAACTATGTTATTTTCATAGGTAAAAAGGACTAATATAAAAAATTGACTAAATCCAAATTTCACTCTTGGTTAGAAGTTTGCAAACTTTTAGTGCAAAGAGCTAGATTGTAAATATTTTAGGTTTCTGTGAGCTCTATGGCCTCCCTCTTTCCTTCCTTCCTTTCTTCCTTGATTAATTCCATCCTTCCCTCCATTTACATTTCTATAAAAATTATTCATAATTTTAAAGTGTATAAAAATAAGACCTAGACTGATGCTACTATAGATAGTTTTTTTTCACTTCAGCATAAGTTTAGAAGTTGACAGAACCCCTAATTCTGTATATGCTAGAGAGAGAGAGAGAAAGAGAGAGAGAGAGAGAGAGAGAGAGAGAGAGAGAGAGAGAGAGAGACTATGAATGAGAGTAGATTTGAGTTCTGCTGGCCTGAGGTGGGATTCTGCTTCCATCCTTTACTAGCTTTGTTACTTGGGCAAGTTACTTATGTACTGGGATGAGACCAGGGCTACCTGGCTGGGTGTGGTTGTCTAGATCTAATGAGTTAATTTGTGGAAGGCACTTTGCCCGTGATTATCACATAATAGAACCCCTATAAATATTACTTTTCTTTACTCCTTCCCTTTTCATGTTTGTCAACGTTTCTCTGCCTTTTCCCCTCCCCTTCCTTTGAATTATTCTAGAAAAATTCTTTACTACTAAGTTATTTTAGTACAAATTTCAACTTGCTAAGTTGAGTCAAATTAATTTGTCAACATTTTTATTACTTGGGAAAGATTATTTACAATAGGTCTCTACTCACCAAAGACAGTCACCCCTAGAAAGCTTCAGTACAGTTCCATAATAAATATTTCCAAACATATTAATATATTCCACTAGCAAAATTTTCATGAGAATTTTAGATAATTTTTCCTGTTCAATCCTCATGGAAGCTATAGGAATATAAATATGTTGAACCATAAGCTAAATTAATAGATATCCAAACTAGGGCCAACAAAAAGGAATATATGAGAGTAAGGTGGGGATGGAGTGTTGTTCATTTTGCTAGAGGAATCTTAACTTTATATTTTGTTCAATAGTCTTTCATGATTATTTGAATCCTTCCTGTTAACCCTCTATTAAAACTACCAAGAGCATTCGTGGTTGAATTGTGTTGTTGCATTACAGGTTTCTTCTTTATAACACATGCTCCTTGAGGCTGTAATCATGTATATTTTAAATTACTTTTAGTTCTGAAATATTCATTGACTAAAATATGTTTAATGTATGTCTTCTTTACTGTAATGTTAGCTTCTTGTGTTTAACATAACCCTGCTCTGCCCCTCAAATTTTGCACAACCTAGCACAACTCTATGACCTATAGCTCAGTGATGACCAAGGTAGTCTTAAGGCTCCCTAAGCTTGACTAAAGTTTTGACAGTTTTCTGTCTGACTGTAGTTCCCTGACCTCCCTTTTAAAAGGGCCATTTATTTAAGAAAACTTGAAACTTCTCTGCCCCTTTGAAATGCTAGATATTTCTCCATCTCTTACCAGTTATACAGTATTGGCTTGTCTTTGTTAAGAGTCCAGGAGTTACCCTCTGCAGAACGGTAGTGTCTGTGGGAGGTGGGAGCATAAGTACCGGTCAGTAAACATAGATGGTATAATCACATTGACCAGTATCCCTCTGCTTTCTCCTTCTACTCTTCCCCTAGCTTACCCCAGCTCAGAAAATCTCTTCTGCCTTTTGTTTCAGTGGAGCTGAGTTCAAACTCTCTCCCCTATTTCAGCTGTCTTGAATAAAGTCTCCCTTGTTTAACCTGTCTTTGAAAATGACTGAATGTGAAGGCTGCAAAGTCAGAACTGCCGTATTATACTGGCTCAGTTTTACGGCACAAGTCATATGACCTCATTAAGCTTCAGTTTCCATGTGGATAAAAATAGAGATAGTGATAGGACTAAGGCTAGGATGTCTTGGGTCAATGAATGTCCAGTACCTAGCACTCCACCTGGTGCATAATATCACCTCCTTAAAATTTAGGTCTTATTTTTTGGGCTAATTAGTACAAGGACTGCTTCTTGATAGCTTTTTTTTCCTTGAATAGTAAAGTGGTCTGATGTATTGAAATTTGATTTGTTCGTGCTGTGTTATCGGTATGTACTTTGCCAAATGAAATACATTTGTCTTCATGAAATAAAGACAAAACTGCATCAGACACAGTGAAGACAAGCAATTGGTTATCAAAATTCCTTCTATTTGGGCTGTCCTAAAACAAAAAACTTAAATAAACTAATATCCATACTTAGTTTCTTTTAATAGACTTTACTTCCTAAACTGCAGATTATATTATAATACTCTATATAATATGTCTTGAAGACATTTTAAAACATTGCCCAAATCCCAAAATTTTAAAGAAATGTCTGTGAAACAACATGTGTTAAAAGTTGAAACTGTTTTTTTTTGTGGGGGTAAAAGAGAGCATGATAACATGTATTTGGGTGCTACCTTACTATTTTCTAAATGTCACAAAAAAGTCTAATTAAAACAATTGTCTATTCAATGTAGCAATATCCATAAAACTACTCCTCCCCTCTTCCTTCTCTCTCCAAAAGTAATCTGAAGAAAATCCCCTTGAATATTTATCTGACTTTTTTTATACTCTTATTTCTGTTTGGAGACCATGCATGCAATTCTGACAGACTCCGGTAACAGTGACCTTATGGATCTCTGTGAAAGTCCATTCTTAAGTAGAGACAACATGAAGGTGGTTTTTGTTTGTTTTTGAGTCATTACATTCCACTCTATTTTTATACTTCCTATTAATGGAGACTTACTCAATGAGACTTACTCAATGAGATTTATACTTTTAGGATGTTTTCTCTCATCTCCCTTCCCTACTTAACAGTTTGTGTTTCAAAGGGACGGGTTACAAGAAAAGAGAGAGCTTCACATGCTATGTAAAAACATAAGAAGACATATTGTGGTTTATAATGTCTAGATGTCTACCTGTAGGGAAGGAAACAAGAATCTAAGTCATTTCAGAAATAAGATATGCCTATGATGAAGTAAAGATTTAAATTGGAAAGTTAGTGTTATAGTCCCCATTTGTATGTATTTTATCATAAGGCACCATTTGGTTTAATAAAATATGGATCTGAGGCTCTTTTAACTTACTGGTTTCTTAAGACTTAATTATAAAGGTTATATTTTCAAAGGACAAAAGCAATATTCATGTGTCTGTTCCTGTCTTCCAGGTTTACCTTGCAGATTATGGACTTTCCTATAGATATTGTCCCAATGGGAGCCACAAACAGTATCAGGAAAATCCTAGAAAAGGCCATAATGGGACAATAGAGTTTACCAGCTTGGATGCTCACAAGGGAGTAGGTGGGTTTTTTTTTCTTATTATTTTTATCTCAGAGGAATGATTAGAGTCAAGAGTAATAAAGCTGCCTGAAATGACCTCTTCATAGTCAGTTTGAGGAGTAAGAGCATTGGCAAGGTTTGTTTTTTTTTTTTAATGAAAAGTAGTGCATTCCTGTTATGCCTAGAAATATTTCTTTCAACAGTGGATGGAGATATAGACTGTAACAAGTGAAGAAGGAGCAAAATGATGTCAAGGAAACAAAACTTAATGTTCATTTTACCTTGAATATCACAAGATTGTATGTGTTAAACTTGGAGAACAGTGCTGAAGTTTTATGTTATAATATCTGTCTATCTATCTATCTATCTATCTATCTATCTATCTATCTATCTATATCTATATCTATCTATATATATATCCCAGATTTGGTAAAAGTGCTCATGTTATCGATTATTCATATTTTCATTGTGCCTTTATTAGATCTTTAGAAGATATCATTGCTCCACAATAAGAATATCTGTTCTAAAACTGTAAAGTGTTAACTTGTGGAAATCTCTCCTAGTCGCCTTTCATGTATCTTACTTATTTAAACTCACTTTGATGGTATTGGAAACACATTTGCAGGTAAATTACATACATAGTCCTTTTATTGGATATTGATTATACTGCCTTGCATTCCAAGGCAGACTTAATTCAACAATTCCCTAATTAGTTAAAGTCATAACCTATGTCTTGTATTCATTTACCATTAATTAAACCTTAGCTGTTTATTACTCTGCAGTCTAAATCCAATAGCTGACCCAGAAAGCCATGGAAAAGGAAGTAGGAGGTCAATATTGAAAATATATGGTGCTGAGTCCCACTGATGGTTGCTTTGTTCACAATCAATATGGTCAATGCAACTGTACTTTCTTAGTTGCTCTGTCAGCAAGACAAAAAGTCAATTCTAATGTTATGCTAGTGAAAAAAATGGTAATTATTGAAAAACTTTGGCTTTCAAATAATATTCGTTGTAAACTTTGTTTATAAAAGTATTTTCAAATGTAGTAAACCATATAAATTATTTTTCAAGAATTTCGAAAGGAGCACATTTTCACTAAAAGGCAGTCAGACACTTGCACTTGTTAATGGTTCTTGAATTGTTATACTAAACTGATACTTTCTAGTGAGCTTTAGTTGGCCCAAACAACTGTATATTATTGCCTTTTCTATTAAAAGGACCATTGGCCATGTAATGTAAGGAGTCTATATCATTTTCCAGAGTGATTAAAACTCACTCTAGGTTAAGGTAGGCCATGAAAAAGTGAAGCAAATGTATATACCTTTGTCCTATCAGGAAGAATCTTAGGTTACATTTTCTGAAGCAGAAATATATACTTTGGAATAGAGTAAAGGAAATCATATGGTTTTTTGTCAAGTATCGTTTTGTTAGAAAAGTAGTGACCACTCAGAAACTTGCTAGTTTTCTGTAAGTTTTCACAATTTATGTTGTTAATAATTTGAAGAGCATTTAAAGATAAAATGGGGCATGGCTGTGATTAAATTAAGAAATGTAAAAAGCAAGTGCTCATTCATAGTGTTTTTTTTTAACTTAAAGTTCTTTATCTCCCAGTGAATTTCATTCTTCACCTTTTCCAGATTTATTGTGTGATATTTAATAGAATTTTCAGAAACCTGAAATTATTTTTTTACCTGTGGTATAATTGGAAATTCATCATACAGATTTTTAAACATTGGTCTATCTAGTGTTATTACTTATGACATTAACTTACTTGAGTACTAAAAATGGCTAAAAAAAAATTATGCCCCATGCTTGTGGCTCATGTCTTATAGCTACTTAGAAGGCAGAAGTCAGGAGGATTGCAGTTCAGAGTCAGTCTGGGGAAGTAGTTCTCGAGACCCTATCTCAAAAAACCCATCACAAAAAATTGTGCTGATAGGGTGGCTCAAAGTGAAGGCCCTGAGTTCAAGTCCCAGTACCACACACACAAAAAATTATAACTGTAGATCAGGCTATATAGAGCTGTTATTTGTTATTCTGGACCACATTTGTATACTAGTAATTCTGAAGGGCCTCTTTAGTTAATTTTGTAGCTTTAGTTGTGCTATATTCATGGGAGATTTGAACAAATTTTTACTCTGAAATGCATTTAAACTTTTTTCTCCCTAAATTATTATACATGTTGAAAAGATTCACCAGTCTGCGTTTTGGGGAAGAAGATTGAACTCAGCATGATTATAGAAAGATTATATGGATACTGGAGAGAATATTCAGGAAAGAGCCTACATTAAATATTTTTGGGAATTGCTGGAATGTTTTATGCTGGAATATTCATTTTATCATATGTCACCAGCAATCTTGTGAAATAGATTCCTTTAATGCATTGTAAATATGATCTACTTTAAAATTATAGGCATAGAAAATTAAATGTCGATATACTCACATATATGTACATATACCCATGCATATATCAATGCATGTGTTTGCTGAAATTTTATTATACAGCTTTAGTGTGGTATATATAAAATGGAAGATTTGATATCCTCAAATGTTTAGATACTGTCCATTTCTAATATTTTATGTATAAATTTCCAAAATAAAACATTTCAGTTTAGAATTTTATTAGAAATCATAAATCCAATAGGTAAGTGTAGATTGTCAAATTTTTAAATATTTGTTTATTTTTAGTAAAGTTACTGTGTAGTTTAATCTCAGAAAAATCTTTGTTAGTTCAGCTTCGAGATTAACTAAATACTGAGTTTTATTAAGTACTTTGTATTAAATAAATACAAAGATAATTCCAGGCATAATGTGAAGCTCTATTAGGAGTCAGCCACCCGATAGAGACTGTTAACCTGATCAGACTGTCTGGTCTTTGCTAGTGGTTCTTGTAGTAGTTACTCAGAAACTGAAGCTATAGCCCATTTTTCTGTGCATTAATTAGGTTTTTATAAAGAAAGAGCTTTTATGCAATGCCAGTCACCCCTTTCACCTAAGCATTTTCTGATTCAACTTCATGTAAAGGGAGAGGAAAGGAAAGAAAAAACATTTTAGCTATTAGCTTATGTTGTTATAAACCAAAATATACGCATAGAGATATGTAGAGATGAATTGACAGAAGGATGAATGGATAAATATTCCTAGAACTATCCTACATCTATATACTTATATATATACCTATATATTTTTAAACATTATAGTTGTTATTCCAAATTCAATTCTCTTGTGTAATCTAAATGTATTTTCTAAGTGGCTGAATTGCTTCATTTAGTATAAAATTAGAGTAATGTATGTTGGGCTTAATTCTTCCACTATTAATTTTTTAGTTTTCATAAAAACTAGCTAATATAAACATTGACATATTTTGTTCTTGTTGCCTGATAATTAAGGAGAATTATATGTGTGTCAAATACACTATTTTAAAATTTGTTACATTCTTAGTAATGTTAGGAAGCAATATTTTAATCAATGTGTGATATGGATTTTTGTAGATTTTTCTACTCACTGAAGCATGCAGTCAATACCTAATTTCTCTAGAGATATACTGCATTTAACATATTGAGCTTTTTAAAATACTTTAGTCTTGGGCATTGAGTGTATAATACCTGTTTTAATTTGACATCATTCATGACCATAAAACATGATATTTAAATTGCATTTAAATGTCCATTTGTTTATGTAATATATTCAGTGTCAAGAAAAGAAATGTATTGCGTACTTTTTTATTTTTGCCAATTGCTATAGTATATGAAATCCAAGTCTTGTTTTATTTCTTGCATGGCTTCATTTCCCTTTAGCATTCCAACTTACAAAGTGTATGTGAAATAAACTGAAAATGTGTTTCCATGTTACCAAACTTGGAAAAAATGACACAGATCATATAATATTTTATCTTCTAAAAGAATAATTCAAAAAAGGGAACTAATTTTCCTATTATAAGATATTAAGGTAAACTATCTGATAATAAAGACTACTGCCTCTATGTGCCATGTTCCCTTTTTGTAACATGTAGACATGACTTTTAAAGTCTTGACCTATATCTTGGCTTTTTAGTTACTCTGTTTGGTTAAAAATAATTCTGTGGCTAAATGTTAGATGTCTTTGTTGTGTTGAATATCTTTTCCTAATCTCTATATAGTAATATTTCACCAAAAAAGTAGGACTTAGAACTCAAGAGGTACTGGAAAACAAGAGGTCTTGGTTTAATATTTTATTTGAAATGATAAATTGCATTCTACTTTCCTAATACCCTTTTTGAAATTGCAGTAATGGATGGGGTGTTGGTCAAACTTTTATTGCCGTGACAGAATACCTGACATAAACAACTTAAGGCAGGAAAAGATTTATTTCAGCTCACAGTTTCAGAGGTTTCAGTCCATCGTCCTTTGCTTCATTGATTTGGATCTGTGGTAAGGCAGAATATCATGGAGTGGGAACCTACAGCAGAGGCTACTCAGTTCATGGTAAACAGGAAGCAGAGAAAGGGAATACAGGAAGGGATCCAGGTAAGATATAGTCCCCAAGGACACACTCCCAATGACCTACTTCCTCCATCTAGGCTCCACCTCCCACTTTTCACCAGGTCTCAGTAGTGCCCTCAGATTATGAATCCTTCAAGGGATTAATCCATTTAGGTCAGAGCACTCATGATCTACTCACTTTCTAGTAGCCCATAAAGTTGGCAATCAAACCCCAATACATGAGCCCAAGGGGGATTTTTCATATTTATACTATACAAGGTGATCAGCATAATATTTTCTAGCTCTCTATATATCCCAAATGGCAAAATACTGAATTACATAATAAAGAATTCAGTAGAAAAATGGTCTTCAGTTGGAAAACTAAGAAAAACTCTTTCTGCAGTTGTTTCATTTTGTCAGGTGAGCATCTTATTTAGTTGTTTCATACTTTCTTATTGTTGTTTCTGATCGCATATACTCATTTAGGGTATTGTCTGAGGCAAATGTTTTTAAGTTCATTTTATTTCCTACCAGCCCCTGTTTTTCTTTATATTCCATAATATATAAGAAATAAAGTTAAATAAAAAGTACTTTAGACAAGTAATCAGATTCATTTTGGGATTAACACTTATTCTTTTCCATTCCCTTTAGTGAACTGGGATTTTACTCTAGTTTATCTTTAGAGAAAGGACCAGTTCTCTAATGTGATCTTTCTTTGTGCTTGTCCCAGCTTGGAATAACTATTTCACATTTTATATATAAATATTTTTTACTGCAGCCTTTTTTATCAGGATGAAATAACTTGAAATAAATAATTTCATAAGAGGATGGTTGCATGGAAAACTTTGTCAGGGATGCAACTCAGACCTCAGGATCTGCTGCTTGTTCATTCATTGCCAAAGGAAGTATATTTGTGTTATATGTCCTTCAGAATTTAAAGTTAAAATGCCTGCTTTCTTATCTATAAAATAAGTGTAAATAATGCTGTTTGGTGTTAAACTAATGATGGTGACAAATAGTTACTAGACTTAGCATGAGTTTTGGTTTCTGGACTTCAGTGTTAAGCTATGTCAGTTTTTGTTCTGCGATATGGAGCGAGTTATTTAAGCTTTCCAAGCTTCTATTTTCTTATTTAAAATATGGTCAATAATACTTACATTACACTATTCAAATAGCTCTCTATAAATCACATTAATTGTTTTTATTTTAATTATACAATCTAGTGCCAGCTATTTCTGGAATCTGTTTTTTTCTGAAATAGAATTTATGTTCCCACCTGTATCTGTTTTGTTTTTTATTGTTATTCTTTGCAATACATTAGCATTTAGAAATATTAAACAATTGAGAGCATATACTTAATGAAAAGAGTAATTTAATTTGCTCCATATCATTAACCTCAATAAAATTAGATGCTAAATAGTATTTGGAAACTAACTTGAGAAAGTTTAGAGGACAATTTTTATTAATAGCAATTTTGCTACATTTCTAAACAATAGTAAACTTGAATTTTTTGGACATGTATATGATCCTATCAATGATTATATTAATTACCACATGCGACTGAAGAACCTTATGTATTATAATAAGTTAGGCAAATATATGACTAAAAACAACTTACAATATAACTTATATCCAATTGAATGAAAATAAATTAAAAGAAATGCATTGCCTGGCAGTATGGAATTTTAGGGTTAAAAATGGGTAATTGTAGGGCTAGAATTCCGTCTCTGCTCTGTGGATTCCTAGTTGAGGACTCTGACTTACTGCTTCTCTTAACTTATTCTTAAATGAGTTTGAAAATTACATAATGAAAGAAGCAACTTCCAAATTAAAAGGTTTTTAAAATTACTTTTTTTGGCAGTGCTGGAGATTGAACCCAGAGTCTTACATACTACCACTGAGCTACACTTCTAGCCACCCCTCCGTCCCCCTGGAATAAAAGATTTTTTTATAGTTAAATATTAAGAGACCTCTTCCGCTTGTTCAATTCTGCATGTGAATGATACACACAGATTCTAATATTGTTTTTAACTATTGTTTTTTAATTAATTTAACAGGCATTACAATTACTGTTCTCACTACAGTAGATAGAAAGTAAACATAATCATCTGTAGATTCAGAAATTTTTGTTGCCCTAAAACACATCAAATTTTTCAATTTATTTCTCTGGGAGGGCATTTCAGGTAGAGATTTGTACTCACAAAAATTTTAATGTTTTTATCTCACTCTTTAATCATAAGTCAGAGTGACTATATGATGCTCTTTTAATACTGTAGGTATTTCTGTAAGCCAGTGAAAACAGTGGTAAAATGTTTACTTAACCATACTTATTAAGGTATGTGTACAGTAAAAGAAAATAAGTAAAAGGCAGAAAAGTGTCATGAAGTATTTTAATTAGGTAAGACCAAACTATAATAGTGAAGTAAAGTTAACTCTCAAAGGGCTATTTTAAATGAAGACCAGTTTATGAAAGATTGGCTTCAGAAATCTAAATGACTTGTCATTACTTACAGCTTCATATCAATTAATCCCTCAGCTGGGGAGAGTGGGGAGGTGGCTGGGAAGGTTCATTCCATTTTAATTCTGATTGTTTTTCCTCAAAGGGCCTCTTGTGTGTAGCCTATGTCTTTCAAACAGGTGCCAGAATATCATTTTTTGAAAATTAGAGGATGTGGATTTTCTAAGTGGTGGTAATCGGGAATTGCCATAATGGAAAAGGGACTTGTGAACACATCTGTACAAATGGAACCATTCCATTATTAATGGGAGATTTATTACTGAAGAAATCACTACAGAACAGCATGGTAGAGATTGTGTTTTTATTTTAATATGAGAGCCAAGTCTTGCATTAGGACATTGCTGAAGCTCACCCAGAAAGTAAATTGTACCCATGGGACTATAGCATTCTACTGGATTGAAGAGCCTTTAATAATCCAGTACTCTAGCAGCAGTTAATATAGAGTATGTGTAAGAACTAATCCTGTCTTCTGCCTTTATAATAATGTATGTGTGGTAACCCAAAACAGTTGTGATATGCTGGCAAGATTCCTCTTACTGGATCACTTTTTTAAATTCAAGGCTAAGTTCATTGAGTGACTTTTCAGAGTTTATATAATGAAAGAATATAATGAAAGATAATAAAATAGGAGACCTTTTTACAGCAGGTTTAACAGTTATATATTGCTCTTAGGAAATTATAGATCCTTATACAGATGAACATTCAAGTAGTGGAAGAAATGAAAATACCAGCCCATTGTTTTTATACCAATTTGTAATATAAAAATGAGTTTATTTTATGGGTATTTGTTAGTGTTTTAATCATTATTTCAGTGACTTGTTAACAAGTATCAGTTATATTTGACATGTTTCTTAGGTTTCATTATTCCATTTTTTTATTCAGGCAGTATAAAAGAATATATGAAGTTAATCTACAGCATTTAATAGTTTGACATAAATGATATCTTCAGAGATCTGAAAATGTTCTTTTAATGTGTGTTTTCTGAAAAACCATCTTATATTAAATTATGAAAACCTCTATTTGGCTTCAAAACTTCACATCCTTCACCCTCTTCCCTCCCTATGTCATTGCTTTACCTTCATATTTTCTATTCAGAATATGAGACTAGAATTTTATCTTGGTGCTGCTTATATCTGAAGATAATATTTGTAACATTTAGAACTGTATGTCAAAAGCAGTAGACATATTTTATTATACTTTCATGTAACTGAAAAATCTTCAGACAGATCTGTTTTTTAAGACCGCACACTAGATGGCAGTTTTGTCATATTCTTCCCACTTCACATACTAACACTAGTATGAGTAGAACAGGAAAGGCCATCAATGTTTAGTCTGCACTCAGAGGGTCTCTGCATGACCAATACAGACCCCATGGACTTCCTGGAACATGTGTTAGCAATTTAGTTGCAGACATTTATTTCTTTGTTTTACTGCTTGGCTCTTTGAGAAAGTGTTGGTGCTGGGTTATGGGTTGTCTGGATCATGTCAGAGGCCATGGGGATCAAGTTCACATGACAGGCCAGACTAAGGAAAGATGAAGTTGAAGGAGATGAGGAAACTGACCCTTACTTTCAGCAGCAACAAGTCATTGCCTGTCTGTGGACTGGGGCCAAACGCCTGGGCGTTTAAGAATTACTCCAGCTGAACAAACAAAATACTTTGCCCATTTGGCTTTTTCATATTTCATCAATAGTAGCTCACCCAAAGATTTCTCTTATTTCTCAAGAACTTGCTTATCCCCCCTTACTCTCTACATGCTTACTCCTACAGCCCTGTCCAGAAGAAGTGACGTTGAAATCCTTGGCTACTGCATGCTGCGGTGGTTATGTGGGAAACTTCCCTGGGAACGGAACCTACAGGATCCCGTGGCTGTCCAGACTGCTAAAACAAAGTACACATTCTCAAGTGTTCTATCATTTACTGCAGCAGGTCTGAAGGGCAATATTAAAGGGAACTGATACCCAGAGAAGATTGCCATTCATCTACCATGACAACCAAAGCAAATTTCTTTTAATTTGAAAAATATTTTTTAGAAAACCGAAATAACAAATATAATATCTATTAAGATAATACCTATAAAAAGCACATGTACTTGAATTACAATGCAAAATATAAAGTGAAATAATTTGTCCCTTTACAGGGTGTTTTCCAAGAGCTTAGATTTTAGGTGGTGGTGTTTGCAAGGAAGAGCATTTACAAATTCACCTTGAACCAGAGTATTGAAGTGTCTGAGCTTGTGGGATTGATAATAACTGTGCAAAGCAACAATGTGAGGTGGGACAAACACAGCTGGTATTTTTCAAGTGAGAACAACATCTTATTCCCATCTTGGAAGGAGTATGTTTTGCTTCTTAAGAAAGAAACAACAGAACTCTTTAGTGAGCTGTTTATGTGAGATAATTTTGCAGCCACATAACATTCAATTTTTTGTTACCTTGATTTTGTTAGCATAAGAATTAGGTCAGTTTTGCAACAAAGTATGTTATTGTTTACAGTTGAGATGGCACAGAGTAGCCAGTGTTTTGTTTTATACCTAAATACACACAGCAGCAGTTACCCACAGGTGTAGTATTGCACTTAGAAAAGCAGCTGAGTTTTAAGCAGGACAAGTCACAATGGAAGTGTACAAAGGGGTAGCTTATCAATATAAATGACTCTTTAAAGTCAATATATCAGTACTTAAGACAGTAGGTTAGGCTGCAGACTCAAAATAATACAAATTATATTTATACAGAGATATATTGTGTGAAATATTTTTCCACATTGAATCCAGTCATCTGCTGTCTTCCCTAAAAAGTAATTCATTGATGTTATTAGTTTTTATCAGTTATGTTGTCAGTTATTTACTGAAGTGATTGATGTATCCATAATAACCCCCATTCTTCAAAGTATGGGTCAAGTCAAAACACAGTAATGGGCATACATAAACAGTTCTGATATTCTGTTTACCTAATTTGAATAATATACTTAATTTAAAAGACTAGCATTTTAATTCTAATGATTATAGGCAGTTTTTCTTTTAATAAGACTAAAAGACTAATGATTTATTTTACTCTTATATCAATACAGGCATACAGACACATTGTAGATATCTATAATGAATATCTCCATATACATATATTCATGTATATAATAGGGTATCATATAAAACATAAGGTTTTAATAAGTCAAACATAACCCCTATTTACATTTTGGGGAGTCTTATGTATGTTAATATCTTCATTTATATTTGATTAATAATATAAACCAATAGACTAATGAACTTAATATATTATGAAGTATATCATTTAGATAAATTGAATTTAACATTTTAAACCTCTTCAGACTTCTTATATAATACGTAATTTATTCAACTTGCTAAGAAGGTATAACACTGAATTTCCCCATAAGGGGGAAATTGCATATGCAACCACATAATACCCATTTTTCTTATACCCTTTGTTTTTCCTGACACAGGATGATATTAGATCAGTGCATTTGTATTGCTATTATCCTGTGCCTCAGTTTGTGAATCACTCACTCATATCAATAATTTTGGTTGAATGTTTATATGTTCATGGCTAAAACATCAAGAGTTGTATTTATATAATCTAAGGACTGGAAAGTACTTACAGTGGTTTTTTTGTTTTTTACTTTTTTATATTTCTTATTAATCTTTTTAATCACAGGATAACAAAACATTGCAAATGTACTTAAGAATTAAATATTGTATCCCTCTTCAGTGGCACATATCTCAGGAAAAGTAGACTGACAATCCAGATAAAATCTTGGTGCTGTTTTTAGGAAAACATCATTACAGATATTCCTACTTCTTCATTCCTACATGTACAAAGTTTGAGTCAAATCACCTGTATTATATTTCTATATTGTTTAGTTTCTAGGTGATTAAAATTATAAAATTGAACAGTGGGAATTGAGAGCCCACTCCTACTTTTATTTATCTTCCTAGTACAGGTAGGTGAGAAAAAGCATTGAGGTCACAATTTTAGTGACCTTCCAACACAGCTTTAGAGTTTTGTTTTCCTAATTAAAAGAGTGATCACAGGATTGAAAACAAATTAATTGCGTTTTCTTCTCTTTTTGTTTTAGTCTGCTGGATGAGCTCCCTGAGTCAGTGCTGAAGTGGGCTCCTTCTACAAGCAGTTGCTGTAAGTCAAATGATAACCTCATCTTTGTTTTATTATTTTCAGGTCACCACATTTGTTACTGTTCTAGTGTTTACTTAATCCACCCACTCTTGTTCCCACAGGGTGAAAGGAGACTCTTCAGGGTTGCAGATAGCTTGCTAGAGAATAGAATGTTTAGATCATCTTTGACATTAGAACACAATAACCCAGGGCTGGGGATGTACCTTAGAGGTAAAGCTAAAGTTTATTTCTGCCTAGAAACTCAAGAACCCTATAAGAAACTATTATATTTTGAGATTGTATACAGGCTAAATAGTGAACTTCATCTGGTATTCTTGGAATTAAAACTTTCTAGTTTGTTTCTCCATATATTATTGAATGAAGATAAAGTCAAACTAAGGAAGAGCTATTTTCATTTAGTAATTTAAAACAACAAATCATTAAACACATGAGTACTGTTTATACCTGGGTTACACTATTGTTGACCAGCCAGCAAAATTTTTTGATTAGCAAAGTCATCTGATCTTGGAATATAGAGGTATATTTCGTAAATGACTTTCTCTTAAAAGTTCATATAGAACATTTTAGAATTCTTTAACTGACAATATTATCAGTATAAAATAGTAAGTGTGCTCAGAATTACCCAAGTTCCTGTCATTTGTATATGCAGGAATGACAGTTTTGAGTACTAATTTAACAATTGAGTTAGTTTGTCTTACAGAAAAGAGCCAGCTAACTCTGCCATCAGAATTCCTTTTTCTCAGAGACTGATAGGCAGAGTGAATCTCATTTTGTTTACATTGGGCAATTTCAAAGTTAGCTTTTAGCTAATTTGTAAAAGTATGTATACTGATCCTTAAGGGAAGATAGCATCAATGTCCATTTGAAAGTTGAAAAGTAGAGCTATGTCATCTTAAACTTACATTCAGAGCCCTTCTTTGAGTAGAAATCAAAATTGTCTTTTGTGAAGGAAATTAAAGAGGAAGAACCCAAGTGTACTTCTCACCTCCTCTCCACAAGTCCCATGGTTTGTCCCCATTGTTAGTCTTCTGCTTTTCACTTTCTGTGGTACTTCTCTTCTGATGGAGAGGACCAAGCAGAAGAGACTGTCATTTTGGAGATGGGCTTAAAATTTTGCTTTTATAACTCCATTAAATAACTTGATCAAAATGACAGTATTCCTTCTTAGCTAATATTCTTACTGACTTTTTTTTTACCAAGTCATACAATAATAGTGTATGTTTTACTCAATGGGACAGAAAGAAAGGAAGATGAGGAGATGTCATTTCTTTTTCAAATTTTGTATTTCTCTAAGCTTTCTTGTCCCTCCTGCACAAAAGATAACTGTTCAGTTTAGGATTAGAAAAGAAAGTCCACATGCCCTGGATTGTATATGACAAATGCTTTGGGGCCAGTGTGTATTCTGTGATATTTCTATTGTAGAGATAAGTTAAGATTTGAGTCACATGAGAAATCCAGGCAGGAGGCACACCTTGTTCCCTTCTTAGTACAGACCATTTATTTGAGTTTATAGTGCTACTTATGAAGTGAAGATTTCTATTTCTAAAGCACAAATTGTTGAATCTTTTTATTAAGGGAAGTTTTCTTAAGAGGTTGTATTTAGAAGAAGCACAACTATGAGAATTAAAGGAATTGATTTACAAAAGGTTTGTTACTAAGACATTTTATGAAATAAAACAGCCAAGAAGTTTGCAGCATGAATGTTCAACTCAGTGTAATAATAATTTCTTAAGTTTTTGTCTCTTGAAATGATAGTCAATAATGATAGTTAAATTATTTTGCTAGCTTATTCAAATATATGATAATTTCATAGTACTCAAAATATTTTGTTTTATAGCTCTGAAAACATTCTAGTAAATTAAAAAAAGGTACTTAATATAATAAATCTAGATCTTGAAAGGCTAACATTAAGCCAGTACTATATCACAATAGTCTAACCTTCAAGTTTATAATAATAAATTTACAATGGATATAGACCTTTTCATTTTCTCCCCCTCGTACTTCACTGGTACCTCATTTTTCCAAACCCCAGTCCCATGAAGGCTTTGCAGCACAGCTGCTATCAGTTGGTGGAGTGCCAGGAGTTTTTGTCTTATAACAATGATTAGTTCACAGCAAATTCATTTTTCTTCTCCATTTGGGATATTCTAGTTAGTCACATTTATGTACCAATTTTGGTTTACCAATCTTCAGAAGACCAAATAACAACAGAATATTTCTATTAAATGGTAGTGAATATTATTTAATCTTTTTTTTATCTTCCCTTTGGGAATTAGATGCCCTCTGAGGGGGCTCCAGGAAACATCATTTATAAATGTGGTGACAAAGCAGCAGAACTTGTTAATTAGTAGAGATCTGATTGGCTGAATACTAGATAAGAGTTTGATGTGTCTCCTAAATTAGAGAGGGAAAAAGGTTGCATAATTGCTATATTGCCCAAAAATAATAAAAGCCCAGAGCCAAGACTTCTCTTTTTAACTACATTAGACTTGTGTTTCTAGAAAAATGTCTCTGGATTCCATAGTATAAAATGGTCACTCTGATTTTAACAGGGAGAAAGGGATGTTGAGTATTGCTTTTGGAATCTTTCCCTATGGGGAGCAAACCTAGTGCCTCTAAAATTCTCCATTTGAATGGAGGTGGACTTGGAGGTGAAGAAAAGGCTTATTGGGAAATTACTCCTTCCTGCCCACTCATAAGTTTCCCAGACTTCCCTGCCACATAATATAAACACTTGAGTAAGAAAGAGGTGATCACATTGTGTCAGGAGTAACTTTTTGAAGGGAAAGGTATAAACATCACTGTGAACAAATGAAAATCTGTTAGTTTTTAAGTAATGTATAGTATTACTACTATTTCAGGATCCTAATTGAATCTCCACCTGAAGCAAAAATGCAACCATGATTGTAACTTTTGGTTACTAATTTTATTTGAATTTATGAGCTGATGGGTTGGCGGTGAGGGCAGGGGCAGGGGAGGCTGGGAGTATAGTTAGTGGTAGAACACATGCTCAACAGGTGGTAGACCCTGGGTTCAATCCTCAGCACTGCGAGAAAAAAAAAAAAACCCTAAAAATAAATAAATGCCACTGAACTAAAATCAAGAGTTCAGAGAATACACTAGGCTACCTAGGGACTGGGGGGTAGGTTTCCTGTATTCTAATGTCAATCATAGCTAAAACATGGAATCTTAGGCCTTAGTTAAAATTTTCAACAATTGTTTTGCCTTTGAAGTCAGGTTTATAATAGTTAACATTTTTAACTAGCTTATTCAATACAAATATCTTGATATAGATATTCAATTGAATATCTAAAAATTCAATGTAAAAAAATCTGAAGCATATCTGATCTATTAAAATTTGCTTCCTCACATAAGATTAATTATAAAAATATCAACAAAAGCATATAAAAAATTACCAATTTTTCCCACCTTGTCAAATCTCTAGCTCACTAGAGCTATTTCAGTCATTTTGAATTATTTAAAAGTGCTTTTTATTGATTTCTTCAGTTTCACTTCATTCAGTGTGTGTGTGTATGAGTTTATATATGTATCATATATATGAGACAAATATCTTTAAGTTTATTCAGATTTAGATAATTCTTTCCGATTATGAATGACATAAAAAAATTAATACTTCACAGGTGAAATAGCCCAGTTTTTGGCATGTGTTCATAGCTTAGCTTATGATGAAAAGCCAAACTATCAAAAGCTCAAGAAAATTCTCAACCCAGGTGGAACACCTTTAGGACCACTGGAATTTTTCACAATTGGACAGAGTATAAATTTGCATACTGTGACCAATCAAAAAGTAAGTAATAATCCCTATACCTTTTATGAAGATTTGTATCAAATGAAGTTGTTTTTTATCTCAAAATGAGTCTCATTACTGAGTTTCTTGCTTATTTTATTTTATTCCTACTTCCCTTAACTCAGCGTCAAGAAAGTTTGTTGCAAGTTCTTTTGACCTGTTGTCTCTGAGCTGGATCTATGCCCTACTATGTACTGCTAAAGAATAAAGCAATTACTGGTGTCCTTGAACTATGTCTGGGGTTAAGTTAAAGACCACTCTGACTTAATTTGTGAGAGTCTTTATTTGCTTCTTTTCTTTGAGCTTTCTTTAGTTATCATTCTTTACTTTTGCCTACCACCTTGGCCATAATATAGGGCTAGATAATATTCTTAGGTATTATTTGCATATACTGGTATTTCAGTCTGTAGAAACAATTGTTTTTTAAAAAGCTGTCAACACCTTTTCCTTTATTCTGTCATCTTTCACAGACTTCCTCATACCAACTTTAAAAAAAAAGGATTAGAATTTATGCCTTGATTAGAACTTAATACAAAGAATTAGGACTTCAAATGTTTTTAAGAAGCTGGTGGTGTAAACTTGAAACTGCTGTTAGCAACTAAATGTCCATTTCTTCCTTGAATTTATCCATATGCAAAAAAAGTATGGAAGGTATTTTTTTTCCTGGTGCATGTGTAATAAGGTAAGGTCAGGATGCCATTCATTTTTAATATTTCTTATGAACTTTGGATCATCACAAGTGTACATGAGCCAAGAATGCAGGATGCAAACTAATGTGACGGATAGGCTGCTAGATGAATGGTGAGTCAAGTATCAGTGCACAGATGGTTCTGATTTGCTGAATTTTGTAGCTGCTGCAACTGAAGACATAAAATATCCTTCTAGTCATAAATTAGCTCTTTGGAAGCAAAACCTTGGCACCAGAGCTTTACAACCTTCAATTAGTAGGAAAAGAAGTATTTGAATGACTGTGGTATTGACATCTGTAGGCCTGCATAGTAATCATTCCTAATAGAAGAGAATATCTGTTTGAGGAGGTTTTGCATGGCTAATTAACTACCAGTGAGAATATGTAATTTTTTCATGATCTCCTGATTGTCACCTTTCTCTCATGATACAATTACATTTTATTGTAGCAAGTGCCTCACAAACCAATTGTCAGCACTATTTACGTATTGTAGGAGGTAGAACAAAAGTTCATGTTTAATAAAAAGCCACTGGATTTTGATCTTGATAATTACTGAGACTTATTTTAACAGTTTTATTGACTTTTGTATTTTTATCACTTTTCCAGCAAAACAAAGAGCCATTTTCTTGACAAAGTATTTCCTTTGCAGTAATGGTCATCACTTAATCTGCACTAATTTCAGAATGTTTTTCACCTTTTTTGTAGTTTTTCAGTTTCATAAACTTAATTGAAATATAAAAGAAGCCATCTTAAAAACTAATAACTATATCCTCTGATATTAATTTTAATTATTATCCGCCAGAATTTTCAGTTTCATCAAATTCAAATGGTGTTTGTCATGAAACCATTTTTATATGCAGAGAATAGAACATAAAATATTTTCCAGTGAACCTCCATCAAAAATATTTTATTTCTTTTGATTAGAACACTGTGATTATGAGTAAAAAGAATGCATTTAAGAATAATATGCATTCTTAAGACCATAATTTATGTTAACAGTGTGATTACCCTGGACATACAGGAGTGAGATATATTTTACAGCAGGACAATATTTAATCATAATGACTTTATTTTTCTAGAATTTTTGGCAGACAGACATATCTAATAATTATATAAAATACAATTTGACCATATGTAGCTAAACTTTAAGTATCTTAATTTTTATTAAAGAAGTTTACAGATTTTGGAAATGCCATAAAAATCAAACTGAAAATACTCAAAAGCAAAGTATGACAATGTAAACTATCCTGTACTCAGTTCCACTAAATGAAGATGATTTCCATAATGGGCTCTTTCTATAAAATCAGAGTCCAGAATGACTGTCAAACACTTAATCCCATGTTTCTTTCTCTGTAGTCAGAGAATCATCTTATTAGTAATTGAAAACATTTCTTGATGCTTTATCTGTAATCACTGTGGTTATTTAAAACACTAATGAATATATTCTGGATTTGAACTTTTTTTGGACACAGATACTTACAAAGAAGTCATTGAACCAGAAAAGGTATACAGATATAAAGATAATTTTTCTATACTTCATTATTCGAAGGAAAACATTAGTAAGTTTTTCAAATGTTATTTCATTCAGTATAAGTGAAATTTACACTTAAGGAAATTTAGTATTATTAACAAAAATATGTTTTGTTTTGGTATTAGAAAGTAGTACACCACAAATAGGAATCTAAGCAAACTTGAGATACTTTTCTAATAAGATTTTATTAGGCATTGCAAACTATTCCCAGTAAATTGAGCCTTCCTTTTGAATCCTCAAATACTGTTACTGGAGTAAAATGGGAAGTGAATTTTTGTCAAGATTGTAGAGACATTGATTTTCTTTTTCCTGAAAAGTAAATCTTTGGGGGTATTTGCCTCAATCAAAACATTGGTATGTGAGCTGACACTAGTAGTTCTGGTAGCTCCTTTAGTCACACTGTCTGTCCAATGACAACTCATTTAGGGCTGCACAGTTTATTTATGCCACCCACTGAAGGGCTTTTGGTTTTTCTTTTCCTAAATTTTTTTTGGTGCTGGGATTGAACTCAGGGCCTTGTGCCTGCTAAGCATACACTGTGTCATTGAGCCATACCCTCATTCCCCACTGGGATTTAATGTCCAAAATTCAGTGAAGAAAACCATATTTCAGTAATGCTTATTGAGGTGAGCAGAAGCTCTAGAATTCTTAGACGATAATGTTAAAACCAAGTTGAAAAATACCTTTAGTGAAAGCCCCAGTTCAGCCCTTGAGAGCCAGTAGGTCCTTCTATCAGTTTTATCTATAGCCATGATGGTGCCTGAATCATAGTGTAATGGTGTAGATACTTGTGTATAAGAAGCCACCCATTCTTCCTGAATGCACTGTCTTGGCTGAGGGATAGCTGTAGGTCAAAGCCAAAATATTCAAACCATCTTACATTTCACACAGTATATTTGCTACTTTATTCATCTAAACCTGAGTTTCCCACAGCAAATCCAGGGGTAAATTATTGGTCATAGTAATCTTTGCATACAGATTAAGTTTACAAAAATTCTTTTCTGAGCTTTAATTTTCTATATAATTCTATTAACTTGTCTTCCTATTTATTTTCTGTATGTGAAGAAAGTGGAATACAAATTCTCAATTAGAAGCACATTATTGGCTACATTATTGGTTAATTGTTAGGAGTCTAACAGTATTCTTGATTTTGTAGAACAGTGTGAAGTTTCAGTGGAAAATTAAATAAAAACTATCTCATTTGAATAGCTACTTTCCTTGAAAATGACACATTTTTGGATGGTGTCCTTGTATTTTACTATGTGGAATGCCTAGAGTGTTTTCTATATTTATTTCCATCTCTGAAGAAAAGAAAGTTTCAGTCTTAGAGGGGGGAGATTAGTGGGTGGGGGAAGTGGGTAAGGAGAAGAGAATGGGTGTGGAGGGGAAGATCCAAGTACATATACATACTCACACACACACACACACACACACATGGCACATACAGTGTTGATGAAACTCATCAAATACTGTTTGGAAAAAGGGGATGGGAAGAAGGTGCTTAAGGGAATATAATAGATGTGTTGAACTTGTTTGAAATACCCTGTGCACATCTGTGGTATTATGACGATGAAACTTCCTGTATTATTAATATATGTTAATAAAAAATACATTGTAAAGAAAGTTTCACTCTATTCACAGTTAAGAATTAAACCATCATACCGCTATCTCATCATTTTAAAGGTTTCCCTTCAAATAGAAATTTCCCATACACTGAGTATTATTATGTTTATTAGCTATAAGTGCCCATGGCAGGGCACTGACAGCAGATCCAGGGGGCAGCATCTCTTCAGAAAGTCTCAGGTAACTGCATATGTTCTGTTTATGTGTCACAAACTCCCAAGACAGAAACTGGTACCTTCAATACTTAGCACATAGGAGGCTCTAGAAACTTCAATACTATCTCAACTGAAAAATCAAACTGTCATAATCCAGCATATATAGCTAAAGGAAATAAAGGGTGTATATCTAAAGGAAATAAAAAAATAAAGTTTAAAAGGCCTGCATATCACTATATTTAGTGCAGTATTATGTATAATAGCTAAGACATGTCTATTGATGAACAAATAAAGAAAGTGGGGAGTGTGTAGAGTGTTCTCCAGCCATAAAAAATCAAGGAAATCTTGCCATTTGGGACATGGATGAATCTGAAGGATATTATGCTAAATGAAATAACCCAGGCAGGGAAAACAAATACTATATGGTATCACTTACATGTGGACTTTGAAAAACAGAACTTGCAGAAAGCAGAGTAGAATGGTAGTTGCTAGGGACTGGGAGTTGGGAAAACTGGGAATATGTTTGCCAAAGGGCACAATCTTTCAATCATAAGTCAGTTATGAAAATCAAGTATACAACATGGTATCTATAGTTAATTGTATTATATACCTGAACTCTCCTAAGAAAATAGATGTGATGAATGTGTCCACTTGGTTGTGATGTCATTTCACAATGTGTACATATATCAAAACGTTACATTGTACATCTTAAATATATTTAATTTTTATTTTTCAATTATATCTCAATAAAGATGAAGGGGAAAAAAATCTCAACTAATCCTTTACAGATCAGAGCATATTTTCGCAATGGTTGCTAAAGCAGTGGTTCAAGAGGATGAAAAAGTGTGTGCCAACCTTGGGGACCCTTTCTCTCATGTTTATTACCAAATAATGTGTACATTTGATGTACATTTATTACCAAAGGGACTTCAGAAGAAGAATGGTTCAAGGGATGAAGACCCATCAACTTTCTCAGATGTTTGTGAGGGATGAGTGGTAAAAGTAAAGAAATCCTTAGTGGTTAGGAAACATTTCCAATTTGCAGGTTACTGAAAGGAAGTTGGTTTTGCCATCCTTTGATAAGCTGAGATCCAGAAGGAGGTGGGAATAATGAAGAGTGTTATGACAACTTAGACCTAGCTACAAAACACTAGCATATTTTAAAGGAAAGGCATGAACACACTTGGAATTAGAAACTAAAAATTGAAAGACTACAAATTAAGGCTCTGTTTGTACAGCCCATGTAATTTATTCTATCTCTTGCCATTGGCTGCTCCATTATTTCCGTTTGTTCAGTTCCTGTCTTCTGCTCCCTACTTAACCCAAGAGAAAAGGTGAGGGCACTTTCAGCTGCTGTAAACATGAAGCTGCTGAGCAAATACTTCACATAAGGACCTTCATTGTGGCTTTCAGTCTCCCAGGTGTGTTGCAGGCTCTGCTCTTCCATTCTTGGTCTACTTCAAGGTTATTGAAAGTCAGTCATTCCTCAGATATCACCACGGTGTGAAAAAGAAACCTAAGTGGCAGCAGTCTGTTGTCAAAGTTAACCTCCTGTACTGAGACACAGTGCTAGATGTTATGAACCGTTCCTTATCCTGATCAAAAGCTAAACTACCTGCACAAAAAAGTAAGCAATATCGAGCTCCTTTTAGACTTTCACATTAATTAGACTCACTTCAGCGATAGAAAACTAAGATCTTAAAAAGAATTTAAAGTACAAAGATATACTAGATTCATTCTCAGCAAAGGTTAATAATGAACTCACATGCAGTTTTAAAATGTCACAATTTTCTGTATAGATGACATTTTCAGTAAGCAAGTTATCTGTGGAGATAATTTCTAGAGTACATAACAGTGACATTAATTTTAATTGATCTTGTCCCATTGGTAAGAAAGGGTCTGCATCTTGCCAGCTACTGTACTTTTTTTTTTCTATAATGTCCATTGATGCTTTTTTCTTTATTTCTTTTTTTATGAAGCTTGGAAAGTTTAGGATTTTCAAGATTCTGGACACAAATGATAAGTTTTTAAAGAAAAGTCAAAAGTTTTCCTATTGTATTACTCTGTACCAATAGGTTGATTCTCAAAAGCCTGCAACAAAACCATTCAGTCTGATGCAAAATAAGTTCATAGAAAAAGTCCGTAGCGAGAGGAATACTGAGTCCTTTGCAGCATGGAGAGAAGTGCAAAAAGAGGACCAGCCATTCAGTCCCAGAAACTATGAAGCAGCTCAGGTGAGAGGGGTTGCTGTGGTCTGTCTTTTTTTTGTGGGGTTTGGGGGAGGGGGTAGCATTGTTATTTCTTTTTACTTAATGTTGCATTAGAATATGCCCTTTGGAAATAAAGACATTTTATTTTTTCCTGTGAGTCAAGGTTGTATGAGAATGGATAAAATGAAAGCAGCCAACACCAGTTATTACAGAAACAGAATAGCAGTGAGCATACTTGTGTGTGGATCTGATTTCTTTCTTTATCCTGAGATTGTAATGAAGCACACTTAAATTTCTTATGATCCATTAGGGACTTTTAACAAACATATTCTTTACTTGTACATTGGTTCTAGTCTAAGCAAAGGGTCTCTCTGTCAGTGGATTGTCCTTTCAAATGATGTATCTTTACATTATTCAATCATTCAGTTGATAGTGACTCAACCTTTTGCAGATGGTTCATTCAAGCAACAATTGAAATACTTCCTAATCTAACCTTTTTTTGATAGGAAGGAGAAGCATACAATATATGTGGCATGAAAAAATATTTAATTTTGTCAAAATAGCCAACATTTTATATGATTTACAGATCATCATTTTCCCCCAAATTATTTGAACTAGTTTACAATATGAAACAAGATAATTTAATACCTCAACCTTTTGCACCCTCTGCCCAAGAAAAGTTGATGTATGAGGCAGCTGGGATGTCAGTCACTAAGCACAGGATTGCTCTGAACTTCATGGCAAACACAGCGAAATTAAGAGGCATAGCAGCTGTTCACCCTCATCCACCAAGCAGATGCACACGTTTATTCAGAGACGTACTTCTTTTGGGACTATGAGTAATATTTTACCATCATTCATTATAAAACAGTAGCATTGTTTGTGGTTTTATTTTAAATTTATATACAGGAATCTACTTCAAATGGGCATATTTTATAGTTCCCATTTGTAGAATTAAATATTTTACAAATATTTCTTAGTAACATAATTTCGAGATTTGAAGTCTTTAGTGAGAGTCTTTCTCAGCTCTGGAGTCACTAATATACAGGGAGGGAGGGACAATTAAAAACATTGATACCCAAGTTTCAAGCAAAAGAAGTGGATTAATTCTGCTAGACTGCCAATGACACTTATAGAGTAGATATTATCATTTCAGAAAGTCCTCTGTTCCTTTTTCCAGTCAATATCCTTCCCCAGAGGCAACCACTGTTCGAATATTCTGATTTCTCATGTCTAGATTGGTTTTGCCTCTTCCAGAATTTCAGGTACATGCAGTTATACAGTATGTATTATTTTGTGTTTAGCTTCTTTCACTTAGCACTTTTTGAGATATATCTATATTCAGGAGTATTATCAATAACTTTTTCATTGCTGAGTAACTCCACAATAACATTGCATCATAATATATACACCTATTTTTGCATTAGTGGGCTGCTTCTGGTTTCTAGCTACTATGAATTAGTTGCTATAAACATACTGGCCCAAGTCCTTCCATGGGTATGTTTCATTTCTCCTGAGACATGGTATTGCTGGGCCATAGGTAAATAAATATATGTTCAGTTTATAAAAAGCTGGCAAATATTCCTTGAAAGTCACTGTACCATTTTATACTCCCACCAGTAAGTGCAAGAATTTTGGCCATTCTGATTCCTCCCCAACATCTAGTATTATCAGTCTTTTACATTTTAGCCATTCTAATATATATTAATGTTTCACTGTGGCTACAGTTATTTACCTGATGACTAATAATTTTGAGCACTTTTTAATATGTTTACCTGATGACTAATAATTTTGAGCACTTTTTAATATGTTTACTGCTCACTTATATATCTTCTCTCAATACTTTTCAAGTATTCTAACCCATTTTTGTTTGGATGTTTATCTTTTTATTATCAAGCTATACAGTCCTTTCCATAATCCACATACAAGACCTCTGTCATAAATCTGTATTATAGATATCCTCTTTTAGTGTGTGGCCTATTTATGTAATAGTGTCTTCAGTGAGTAAAAGCTTTTTATATTATTTATTAGAAAGTTAAATTTATCAATATTTTTCTCTTGAGTTTTTTTCCTGTCAACAAACCTAAGAAGACTTTGTCTACCTCAAAGTCACAGAGTTGTTTTGCTACATGTTCTTTTAATCTCAAATCAAGTCCTGTGTGTGTGTGTAGGGATTAAGGTTCATCCCTTTCCAGTTGTCTTTCGCAGCATCATTTGTTAAAATGTTTTCCTGAACCTACTTGGCCTACATTGGGGCCTTTTTCAATAGTCAGCTAAATATGCTGGAAGCATGGCTCAAATGCTAGAGCACAAAACCCTGAGTTCAAACCCTAGTACCATACACAAAACACATACACACACGTGCAGAGTCAGCTAAATGTGTAAGTACAAGACTATTGCTGGACTCTCTTTCATTGTTTTCATCTATCCTTATACCAGTACCATACTGCATCAGTTACTGTAGCTTCACAGCAAGTTCTAAAATTAGGAATGCAAGTTCCTTAATTTTTTTTCAAGAATGCCTTGGCCATTTAAGTCCTGGGCCTTGCATGGGATTTAAGGACCAACTTCTCAGTTTCCCAAAAGCAGCACAAAGGGTTTTGATTAGAAGTACATTAAGTCTAAAAATCAGTTTACGGAGAACAGGCTTCCCAACACGGCGTCCTCCAATGGGGCACCTTTGCTCCATTTCTGTCAATATAAAGCTTCACTCAACAAAGTCTTGCAGTTTTCACTATGTAAGACATATATAGATCCCATTAAATTTGTCTCTAAATATTTCTTTTGATCCTATTAGAAATATTAAATTTTAAATACTTGAGTTGTTTCTGGTGTATAGAAATGTAATTTTTTTTGTATTGATCTTGTATCCTGGAACCATCCTAAATTTACTTACTAGTCCCAGTACTACTTATAGATCCTTAGGATTTTCTACAGTTAATCATGATATCTGTGAAGAGCGAGAGTTTTATGTCTTTCTCTCCAGCACATAGACCTTTATATTTGTTTGGTTTGGTTTGGTTACTGTTGTCATATTAACATCTGCTAGCATGTCTGCTAGAATGTCTGGACACTGAAATAGAAGCTTTGAGAGTGAGCATCCTTGCCTGATCTCAGAAGCATGCATTTTTAGGGGATGGAGGTTTTCCTAAGTGTCACTTGTCAGGCTGAAGAAATTTCATTGTATTTGTAGGTTTTTAAAAAAATAAGTTCAGTGCATTTTTAAGATCTATTGAGATGATCATATGATTTTTATTCTTCACTAGTGTGATGAATTACATTGATTTTGAGTGTTGAGCCAACATTTTATTTCTGGGATACATCCATGTAGTTGGGATGTGTTATCCTGATGAATTTATATTCCATTAAGGATTTTTATATCTACAAAACAGTGATGTGTAATTTCCTTTTCTTATGATGCCCTTATATGGTTTGTTTTCAGAGTCATTTTGAGTGTTACGGGTTGGAAATATTCTATTTTCAGAAAATGTTTTTGTAGAATTTGTCTTTCTTAAATGTTGGGTAGAATTTATCATGAAAACCATCTGAGCTGAGAGTTTTGTTGTAAGAAAGTTTTTAGTTATAAATTTGTTCTCTTTAATATACAGTGGTCATTAGATTTTTGTTCTCCTGTGTCTGGTAACTTGTATCTTATAAGTAATATTTACTCTCATCTAAGTTGTTGAATTTATTAGCACTGTTATAATATTCTCTGATCCTTTTAACATCACCAATATTGTAATGATGTCCCTTTTTCATTCCTGGTAATTGTAACTTTTGGGTTTTTTGTTTTGTTTTGTTTTCTATAGACTAAGAGCTTAATATTTTCATTGGCCTTTTCAAAGACCAGCTTTTTAAACAACTTGCTGGTGATCTGTTTTCTATATCACTAATTTTTTAACTTTCTATTTGTGTTTTTCTTTTAAGCTACATAAGGCAAAAGTAAAAATCATTGACTTTAAGCCTTTTTTCTTATAATACACAATTAAAGCTATAAAAGTATAAGCCATTTATTAGTTGTATTCCAGATTTTGATGATGTTTTATTCAATTGAATTTATATTCTAACTTCCCTTGACTTATATTTAAACAGGTGTGTTGCTTAAAGATATATTAATTTTGAAATTTCGCTTATCTTTTTGTTTTGATTTCTATTGCAACTTTGTTGTTATAAGAATATATCTTGTATTATTATAGTTCCTTAAAATTCCTTGAGACTTGTTTATCACACAGCAGAGGCCTAGCATGGTTGAATGTTCCATGTGTGCTTTTAAGGAATATGTATTTTGAATTTTGGAGTATATTGTTTAATAAATATTAAATAGGTTAAATTAATACCATTGTTCAACTCTTTTATATTCTATTTGTTTTGTCCTTTTGTTTTATCATTTAATAACAAAAGAATGTTAAAATGTATCTGTGGAATGTATCCATGACCCCCGTTAGTCCTCTATTTTCTTCATGGATTTTGATGCCCTTCTATTAGGCACATACAGATTTGTAACTGTTAGGGCTTCTTGGTGAAGTCATATCATTATGAAGCTTCTTTCTTTGTATGTGTTAATATGCTTTGTCCTACTCTGATTTTAACAATTGCAGCCTTCTTGTGTTAAGTCATTACATGGTGTAGCCTTTTCCAAACTTTAATATATCTGCATCTTCTTATGATAATATGTATGCTCTTGTAAATAACAAGAAGTCTTGCTTTTTGTAAAATCTGACATATACTAATAATTGTTCCAGTTCCATTTTGTGTGATTATTGGGTTTGACAGTCTTGCTACTTGCTTTCTTTATGCTGCATTTTTTTCTTCCATTTTTGATTTCCCTTCTTGCTTTATTTTGGACTAAGTTTGAGAATTGTTCTCTCCTTTCTTGTCTTTTGAAACTATACTTCATTGGCTTTTAAATTTTGTTTTAGTGGTTACTCTAGGACAGGGGCTCAGCAAAGTATGGCTTATATGTCAAATTCAAGTAATAATATATTTTGTAAATAATTGTATTAGAACAAATCCTACTTGCTTGT